CATGATATTCTCCAGTTCCATCCACTTACCAGCAAATGCCATAATGCCATTCTTTTTATGGCTGAGTAATATTCCATCATTCATATATATATATATATATATATATATATATCTTACATTTTCTTTATCCATTCATCTGCTGACGGGTACCTTAGGTTGATTACATAATTTAGCTATTGTGAATTGAGCTGCTATAAACACTGATGTTGTTGTGTCACTGTAATGCTGATTTTCAATCCTCTGGGTATAAACCAAGGGGTGGGATAACTGGGTCAAATAGTGGATGCATTCCAAGTTTTCTGAGCAATCTCTATACTGCTTTCCATAGTGGTTGCACCAATTTGCAGTCCACCAGCAATGTAGGATTGTACGTTTTCCCCCCACATCAACATTTACTGTTGCTTGTATTTTTGATAATTGCCATCCTGACTAGATTGAGATGAAATCTCAATGTAGTTTCAACTTGCATTTCTCTAATTGTTAGAGATGTTGAACATTTTTTCATATATTTGTTGACCGATCGTTTTTCTTTTTTTTTTTTTAATATTTATTTATTTATTTTAGTTTTTGGCGGACACAACATCTTTGTTTGTATGTGGTGCTGAGGATCGAACCTGGGCCGCATGCATGCCAGGCGAGCGCGCTACCGCTTGAGCCACATCCCTAGCCCTGACCGATCGTTTTTCTTCTTCTGTGAAGAAGAGTTCAGTCCCTCAGTCCATTTATTGATTGAATTATTTGGTTTTTTTTTTGGGGGGGGGTGTTACATTTTTGAATTCTTTGTGTATCCTGGAGATTAAATGCTCCAGCTGAAGTGCAGGTGGCAAAGATTTTCTCCTATTCTGAGGGCTGTCTCTTCATGTCCTTGATTGTTTTCTTGCCGTGAAGAAGTTTTTAGTTTGATACAATCCCATTTATTGATTCTTCATTTTACTTCTTATGCCTCTTACAACCTATATCAGGTTTATATTAACTTAAATCCAATAAGATACAGACACTTTTTTCCTATGTAACTCTATTCCCCTTCCTTTTTGTGCTATTATTGTTATGCATATTATATCTATGTGTAACTCCACATACATTATTACAATTGTTAATTTATATAATTTATCTTTTAAATAAGCTGAGAGAAGAAAGGAGAGTATATATATGTATTTAGAGCTTGTTATATCTACTTTCTTATTCACCTTTCTTTTTAAAAAATTTATTTATTTATTCTAATTTGTTATACATGACAGCAGAATGCATTTAATTTATTTACCTTTCTTTTTTCACCTTTCTTGATTCTCCTCATTTCTTCCTATGGATTCACATCAGTATTTGATGATATTATTTCCTTAAATACAACTTCGGTCTCATATACCTCCTTTGAGCTCTTATTGCCAAATATATTACATTTCTATATATTATAGGCCTATCAATATAACTGTTTGAGTGTAGCTTTATACAACTGCTCTTTAATTCAGTTAGGAAAAGAAAGGAGAAAAAATATGTAATTATATTCTCTTTTAGAATTACCTACATAATTATTTTTATTGGCACTCTTTGCCTCCTCCTCCATTTCTTTTCAGATCCAAATTACTATCTGGCATCTGGCATCACTTGCTTTCAGCCTGAAGAAGTTATTTTAGTTTTTCCTGTAAGGCAGTTCTGCTACGAATAATTTCTTTTTGCTTCTGTTTATAGGGTAATGGTTTTATTTTGCCATAATTATATATATTTTCTAGCACTAGGGATTGAAACCAGGGGCTTGTGCATACTAGCCAAGTATTATACCATTGAGCTACATACATCCCTTGTCCCTCTTTTGAGATAGGGTCTTGCTAAGTTGCCCAGGCTGGCCTAGAACTTGAGATTCTCCTGCATCTGCCTCCCAAGTTGCTGGGATAAGAGTCATGTCCCATTGTTCCCATCTTTTGCCTTCATTTTTGAAAAATATCTCTCCTGTATATGAGATTCTAGGTGACAGAGTTTTACCTCAGCACTTTGAGTATGTTGCACACTGTCTTCTTGCTCTATTATCTCTGATGTGATTTCAGCTGTTAATTTTATTGGGGATTCTTTGTATGTGATGAATTGTTTTCTCTTGCTGTTTTAAAGTTTTGTTTTTTTTTTTGCTTTTGTCTTTAAACAGTTTGCTGTGATATGTCTGGGTAAGGATCTCTTTTGGTTTACCCTACTTGGAGCTCATTAAGCTTTTGTTTTAAAAAAAAAAAAACATAATTTTTAGTTGTAGATGGACACGATACTTTTATTTTTATGTGGTTCTGAGAATTGAACCCAGTGCTTCACACATGCTAGGCAAGCACTCTATCACTAAGCCACAACCCCAGCCCTCATTAAGTTTTTTTTTTTTTTTTTTATGTATAGGTTCATGTTTGTTTGTTTGTTTTAATCAAGTTTGGGGAAGTTTTCAACCTATCTATATCTGAATATTTTTTACATTAAGCAAGAATGTTCTTTTTGTAAAAAGCTTTTTATAATCTTCAAAATAATCTTCATTTATCAACAAACTTTTCATTGTATTCATTTAACAAATTAACAGTGTTAAACTATACAACACTACCTTGTCAATCCCAAGTACTCAAATGAACCAAAAAACTGCTTTGGAGCACTGAAAGGAAAGAAAAAAAGGCTAAGAAAGGCCAACAAATATATTTTAGAAGCAGTTAAGGGGGATTGTTGGAATAGGGGTGGGAGCTTAGATTCTTGAGCACCATCAGATTTCCTCAAGGTTCAGAGGAGTTTTTCCACAAATTCTTTATTATTATTTTTTTGGTACCAGGGATTGAAACCAGGGTTGCTTAACCACTGAGCTACATCCCCAGCCTCTTTGTTAAAATATATATTCTGTTTATTGTTAGGATCTTACTAAATTGCTTAAGGCCTTGCAAAATTCCTAAGGCTGGCTTTGAATTTACAATCCTCCTGTCTCAGCCTCCTAAGCCGCTGGGATTACAGGCATACACCACTGCACCTGGCCTCACAAATTCATTTTTAATATGAGAGATTAAAACTAAGGAATCAAGCTGGGCACAGTGGTGGATGCCTGTAATCCCAGCAAACTTGGGAGGCTAAGATAGGAGGATCAAAAGTTCAAAGCCAGCCTCAGCCACATCAAGGTGCTAATAAGCAACTCAGTGAGACCCTGTCTCTAAATAAAATACAAAAAAGGGCTGCAATGTGGCTCAGTGGTTGAGTGCCCCTCAGTTCAATCCCTGGTACCCCAAACAAAACAAAACAAAACAACAAAACCCCTAAGTGGGTTGGGGCTGTAGCTCAGTGGCAGAGTGCTTGCCTAGCATGTGTGAGGCACTGGGTTTGATCCTCAGCACCACATAAAAATAAACAAATAAATGCATTCTGCCCCTTTACAATTACAATAAAATAAATAAATAAATAAATAAAAAATAAAAAAAAAACCTAAAGAATCAGAGGAACCTGTACTTTGGGATATTAACCAGGTAATCCAAATTCCTAGATTGTGGATGAAGTAAGTAAAAGAGGGAGAGAAAGTGGAGAAGAGGCAGAAAAGAAGAATCAAGAAGCACAGAGGGAAAACATTATGTCTAGAGGAAATGAAGTCATAAACTCTTTGAATATTTTTACCATTGTTTTACTTATTGTTCTCATGGAGCTACAAGCTTCCTTAGTTGCTCACCACTAAAATTTCTATTGTTTTTGATAGCACCTTTGACTTGAACTTCCCTAAATTCTGTGCCCAATAAAGTCAGTCCCCTTAGGGAGGGGTACATTTCTATGGCCTGCCTCTCCCCTAGGTATAATTTCTGTACTGTTGTTTGGAACTTAGGGATAGGAATAGTAGCTCATTTCTGAGGGATTCTACAAGTAGGGTTCTAAGCAGAGGCAGTATTGAATTAAATATCCTATGAGTAGATATAGGTACTTTGTGGAAAAAGGGATCCCCAGACCTCTCTGCTGTTGTTGCCTGAAATAGAACTTTAGTAACATGGAGCTATGGTGGATGAAATATCCTGAAGACTTGCTTCTACTTGGAGGAGACCATAGCTGTAAATTGAGAGCTGGGTGGTAAGGAGAGGGAAATGATCATAGCTCAAATGCCATGGATTTTTGCTGTTCTCACTGGGATTTAGTAGATTTTCCTGAATAAATGTTTCCTCATTTGCTGTATGCCCTTAGGATAGTTTCCAGAGAATTTTTATGGTTGTTTATAAATTTCACCAGTTGTGGTTGTTTTGCTGGGAAGAGTCCATGAGGTTACTTAAGCTGCCATTCTGAAAGTGATTCTCCACTTCTCTCTTGACCTAACACATTACATTATGGCCAATTCTAAAATTTTCCCTAAATCAATGTTTTTCCCCCAATGAGCTGTCCACTGTGAGTACTCTAATTCAAGCCCTTGCAATATTCCTGGATCATACAAGATTTTCTTAACTTGTGTTCTAGACTTCCAGTTTCTCAATACTTCACTTTGTTCTATATTACTCCCAGGCACATCTTTTTTTTTATATATTTTGCTGAGTTCACCTTGTTCCTCAGAAACCTTACACATCTTTATCTTACTAACAAAATAAAGTTCAAACTTCTTGGACCTTTAGCAATCCAACTTTGGCGTACCCTTCCAACTGAATCCTCTACTACTATCCTAGTCCAAATTATGTTTATCTATAAAATTGTCATCTCTGCCTTTGTTCCTACTGTTCCATCTATCTGAAATCCTCCTACTTAACTCTATCAAAATCCTCCCTGTTGTTCAGGACCTATTCAGACATAATTTTTTTTTTACCCCAGTCAGAAGAGTGTTTTACTTTCTCTTAGTTACTGTGGTTCTTAAAGCCCAGGTTTCTTTATTCCTTGTATGTTTTATCTTCCCCTTTAGACAAGACATTCTTCAAAGGCAGAGCTCATATATTACCCATGGTATCGAGTGGATAGGTTTCCCACAGTAGACATTTAATACAAAGCTGATAATTTCAGGGGTTTATTAGTTGGGCCTCTGAGGAGTTTTAGTTACTTACTCGTTCTTTTAACTGGATTACTTCTTTGTCTTTTTGTTGTTTCCACTGTCTAAACTTCTCAGCATCCTCTTTCATCTGACGCATTAACTGTACTCGCTGGTTTTTCATCATCTGTAAAAACAAAAACCAGTACAAGTATTAGTCACATGTACTTTATTCTAGGCTGATATGCAGATGGATATAATTATCATTAATAAGAAAGAAAGCCCAGAGCCAAGCTAAGAAGGCCACGAACAGATTTTCTGTTAGGCTTGCAATACCCCTCTTGCTATGTTTGCACAGGGTTTCCAAGTGTAGACTATACAAATGAACACTCTGAAGAAATAAAAGAAAAATATACCTACAAGCTAAAACCAGCCCTGAATTCACTGTAGAAATGAAAAGTTCAAGGAAATGTTTATTAAGCCTCAAGGATAAAACTATCTAGCAACCAGTATATTCCAAAGATATCTGTGCAAGAGACCTCTAACCACCACTTTCCATATGCTACAAGTTAAACATTCAACAGCTGAAAATATTCTTCAGGTATCTATCATCTTGCCACTACTTTACAAAATTATGCCACATGATCATTGAAGACGATCAGGATATTATCACTAAATATTGAGATATGTTTTTCTTTTGGTTTCAGAGAATCTAACATTAAACTTTGAATGTAAAAAAGAAAAGAAATTAAATGTCAAAGCAAGGTTTTATTCAGATTCTAGATGACAACCAGCACAATGGCCTATAAAAGGGACATTTATGGAGATTTTCACACTTGAAGTGAAAACACTCCGTAGTATAATTTGAAATGGAACATCTATGTATGTTCCAATGCAGTAAATTTAAGGATGAGAGTTTATTACCCGTATCTCCTGGTTCAGTTTGGAGACAGTATGCTCTGTGGATTCCTTCAGTTTCAGAAGTTTGGATTGTTCATTTAGTTTCTTCTTCAGATCAGCTATTTGATTCTCCAGCTCCTGGAGACGTTTGCGGCGACGCTCACTCAACCTAAACACAGATACAGTAGGAGTGAAGGCTACCAACAGCAAAGCCAGACTCCAAAAGATATGAGACTTCTAGGTGTACAACCCTGATATATGTAAATAGTCATCTTTGTTTTTTTAAAGGTCAACAATTTTTCTTTTTTTTAAAGAGAGAGAGAGAGAATTTTTTTTAATATTTATTTTTTTAGTTTTCGGCGTACACAACATCTTTGTATGTGGTGCTGAGGATCGAACCCGGGCCGCATGCATGCCAGGCGAGTGCGCTACCGCTTGAGCCACATCCCCAGTCCATAAATAGTCATCTTTAAAATAACAAATACCAAGCTGGGCATGGTGGCACACGCCTATAATCCCAGTGGCTCAGGAGGCTGAGGCAGGGGGATTGAGAGTTCAAAGTCAGCCTCAGCAATGTCAAGGCACTAAGCAACTCGGTGAGACCCTGTCTCTAAATAAAATATAAAATAGGGCTGTGGATGTGGCTCAGTAGTCGAGTGCTGCTGAGTGAAATCCCTGGTACCAAAAAATAAATAAATAAAAATATACCACCCAAACAACCCAAACTGTCTCAATAATAAGAGTTTAATACCAGAGTAAAACAACATAATTTTTGAGTATGCAAAAATGAACTGCTTCAATATATCCCATCCTACAACTTTCTGCCAAAAGGATGTTCTGTGAAGGTATTTCGCTTCATGTTGACCGAAAGGAATTATTCTGACAATTATTACACAAGTCTGAGACAGAAAGTAAATATTCAGCATAACTTTTAAGAACATGAGCTTTAGATTCATACAGAGATAAAACAGTCACTGGGTAAAATGAAGGTAGAGTAGCCAATAAGCAGGAGTTGAAAGGAGAGTAGGAGGTTATGGTTATCAGTTTCATTCTTAACTGATTAAGAGATGGTTCTATTGATTTTTTTAAATCACTAGCCTGGTTATTAATTCTATTCACAAGCTAAATTACCATCAGTGCAGGGGGAAAGAAATTGCTACTATCCACTAGGTCTGATAATCTTTTAAAAGCCAGCTCACACATTAACATTTTATGCATCCTTCCTTGATCATGCCAGCTTAAATTCTCATCCTGCTTCTGAACTCTTAACACAATTATTGCCTAAGAAATTAATCTGGCTAATTATATGCTATGTTATGGCATTCTTTCATTGTCATCATGAGATGTTATGTAAAATCTCAATTACTTTTCTTGTGTTTATATTCCTTTCCCACACTAGGTTTAAATCCTTTGGGTGGCAGTAATGTCTCCTACTTCTCTATTCCCTCTAAAGCTTCTCATACATAGTAGGGACTTAACATTTATTGATTTTATTCTTACTTAGCTTGGTTGACATCCTTCTTTGCTGTCTGAAGTTCAAGAACCAATTCTTCCTTTTCCTTTTGCAGACTGATGACTTCCAATTCCAGATTTTTTATGTTATCCTAGAAAGGTCATAAGTCAGAGGGAAAGAAAGGCATTATATAGCAGAGGAAGAATATCATTTCAACATTCCATCTTTCCAGGAACTATGAATTAAATTTTAGCACTTCACTTATACACTAAAAACATTTGTTCTTAATTCAATGGAGATTAAAATTGTATAGTAGGCAAAGTATGGGCTTGGAATCCAGCAACACTTATTATCTAAAGTATCTTATGGAAAGTCACTACTTTTAGCCTTAGTTTCCTGTGCAGAAAAGAGTTAAGAGAGCAGGCCTGAGACTGCTATCCTTAAAAAAAGATAGCTTGGGGCTGGGGATGTGGCTCAAGCGGTAATGCGCTTGCCTGGCATGCGTGGGGCACTGGGTTCGATCCTCAGTACCACATAAAATAAAATAAAGATGTTGGGTCCGCCGAAAACTGAAAAATAAATATTAAAAAATTCTCTCTATGGGTATATGTTTGGGAACTAACATTCTTGTAGGGTTCCTGCCATTTCCTAGCTGATAACAGAGGCTCATCCATGCCTAAACTATGCAAACCATGTGATTTACCCTGAACACCTGCCTTCTTTTTCCAAGTGTAGAATTTTGGTACACACAAGGCAGAGGTAAAAGTCTTAGACTCTGAGGGTCAGGGCTTCCCTGGTAGAGACCATTTCACACATGATTACAACCCATTAGTGGAGGAATGCAGGGCTTCCTGTGTGACTCCACTGGGAGGGGACTTTTGGTAGCTTGTGCCTAGTTTCCCTCAGACTGTGCCCAGGGGCCATTGTCTTTGCTCATTTTTCTTTGTATCCTTTCACTGTAATACATCTTAACTGTGAATATGACTACTTGCTGAGTCTTACGAGTCCACCCCCAGTGAATCACTGAACCTAGAGGAGGTCTTAGGTATTCCAAAGAATTTCTCTATCTATGTAAATAATTAACAATAACATGAGCCAGGCACGGGGATGAGAACCCGTAGTCCCAGCTACTTAAGAGACTGAGGCAGGAGATTGCTTCAGCCCAGGAGCTTGAGACTAGCTTGGACAATATACTGAGACTGCTCACAAAATAAACAAATAAACAAACTCCAATAACACCTACATCATAAGATTAATAGAAGATTAAATAAGATAAAAAGGTAGTGACATTTTATAAACTATAAAGAGCTGTATAAATATATCATTAGTTTTGCAAACTTATATATTCAATAGCAACTGCAGTTCTGCATGTATTTAGGCAGCAAATTCTAGGAATTGAAGTTTGGCAGTTTTCCAAGAATGGGAAAACCCAATGACCAGATTCCCTCCTGTTCTCAAAACTAAAAGTGAAAGGCAACTGGCTGAATAAATGGTTGGCAGCTGAGAAGATTATATAAAGTCCCCAGACCAGTATTGGATTGACACAAAGAAGCAGAAGCAGGTTAGACAGGGCTGTATCAGAGAAACTTTGTACATAGGCTAGGGCTATTTTCCACACAATGTCCTGAGCCACTTCAGGATAACTAATGAAAATTAATCTTATTGCTTTATAGTTACCCTGAATATTTAAACTGGTCAATAACAATAAAATAAATAAAAATAATAAATAGATTTATATATTTATTTTTACTTATAGAAGTACCTTGTGAAAACTAATCCAGATAATACGTGTAAAGGTCAAGTCCCCTTGACTGTCTCACTCTCTGCCAAAATTCCATCCCCTCTCCAGAAGTAACCACTGTTATTAGCTTGGTGTATATCTTCGAGAAATTCTTCTTAGACAGTTACATATGTGTATATTATATCTCTAAACCTTCACATATATAAAATACATGCATTATATATATTTTATATAATATTATAGATTACATATTATATATCATGGTATGTATATGTCTTATATATGTAAATGTCTAGAATATAAAATTTAAAAAATATATAGGATGTACACATACATATGCATATGTGTATCTGTGCACATCAAATTCAAATATGTGTTAAGCATAAATAGAATTACACTTTAGGGGCTGTGGGTGTTACTCGAGAGACAGAGTGCTTGCCTAGCATGTATAGGGCCCTGGGTTCAATCCCCAGTACTGCAAAAAAAAAAGAAAAAAGTCACACTATACGTGTAATGTATATTATTCTGTAACTTGCATTTTTTACTTTATTATTTTGAGATTTATGTATACCCATACAGATCTGCTCTGCTTTTTTTCTGATGTGATGAAAGCATTCTTATATGTGTCTTTTGGGTACATGTGCTAGATTTTACTAGCAAAGAGAGAAGTTGAATTATAGGGTAAGTGTACACATTTATAATTTTAACAGATACTACTAACCTGTCACACAAAGTGGCTATTTTTAAAATATTTTTCTTAGTTGTAGTTGGAAATTTATTTATTTATTTTTATGTGGTGCTGAAGATCGAACCCAGTGTCTCACATGTGTGAGTCGAGCGTTCTACCGCTCAGCCACAGTGCCAGCCCACAAAGTAGCTATTTTGATTTCTACTCTTGCCATATCACACCCTTGTCAACATGTGATATTATAGCACTTCAAAATTATTACCAATATGGTAGGTGAAAAGCAGTACCTTGTCCATATTTAGTGAGTAACTATCTCACCAACTCCGAGTGGGGGATTATTCAAATATTTGAGTCTTGGTTTACAACAACTCATGGCAATAAACTTTAATGATTAGAACCGAAGCCTCCCCCGGTTTTTCTATAGCAATTCCTTGCTGTGATAAGAAAAATACTGGAATGAAAACCTGTCTTTATATTTCTTAGAAAAAGAGAGGTGATGATTTATATGTGAGTAAAAGGTACTAGTTACCTATGAGTGTGTATCTTCTTAGTTTTTAGATTTGGAAGCTTAAGCATATTTAATTTTAAGCAAAAAAGGGCCTAGATATTTACTATAGCTACTATATAGCTCATTATCCATACCTCCTTATCCAATTAGAAATACACTGTTGGAACTCATATCCCATGTTTCTAAGCAAGAGTATAAGAAGGAAGGAATAATTTCTCAGTTTTACTACTAATCTTTTGTTTATCCTGGAAATGCCAAAATACATTTGACCTAAAAAGGCTACACTGCATGTCTTGTTAACATAGATGCCTAAGCTACATATTTAACTTACTCATTCTTATAATCCCACTAAAAAATGACCCCCCCCACAAAGCTGCTTAAATCAACAAGAATAAAAAGAGAAGAGGAAGGCAGTCGAGAGATACGAAAAAGACTTTAAGGAAAACAGCTGGGTAAGTAGTAACTGACTTCCAAAATGGAAAATGCTGAAATATAAATCTTAGAGAATAAATGCCAAGAAGCAACAAGCCAATTTGTATCACAGAACAAGAAAGAGGAGTAGAGGCTCCCTTTCCGGAGTACCTGAACCTCATAGGATAGATTCACAGACACTGGACAGAGCTAAAAGCAGACATGAAGTACTATACTGCTGATAGTGATTCAATACAAATATGCATATGACTGGAATAACTCCAACTCCTTATTTCCTCTGGGTTACCAGAATGGTGGTACACTACCATTCTGCCTACACAACTTCAGGCAGGAGAATGAAAGATTTCTTTATGGAAATTGACTAGCCCCAGAGAAACTCATGCATATAGAACTTCCTATTGGTTTTTAGTGCCCCACTCCTAAATCTGAATATACAACCAAAGATTACTAGAAATTGAAGGAAAGCTTCTTTTTAAAAATTACTTTTTTAGTTGTAGATGGACACAAAACCTTTATTCTATTTTTAAAAAATTTTTTATATGGTGCTGAGGATTGAACCCAGTGCCTCATATGTGCGAGGCAAGCTCTCTGCCACTGAGCCACAATCCCAGCCCTAGGAAAGCTTCTTAAACGTGAGACTAAAAGAAGCACATTTAAAGGAAATATGGAGAAACCAGGTAAGGCAGGGAGAAGAAAATCTTGATAAACTTTAATTGCTTTCCTTAGAAATGGGCAGTGCATTCATGAAAAAGAATAAAAAACTATAAAAAGAACAAATAGATGGTCAAAAAATCTTGGAAATTACTAGGCAAATAAAAGAACTTATCAGAAGGAGTAGAAAGAAATCTCCCAGAGAGGGAAATAACAAGACAAAGAAATGGAAAATAGAAGGGAGGAGGTAAGAAAAGCAGAAATGAAATCTAAGAGATCAAATACTAGATTAAGAGGAGTGTAAGAAAGAGAAAATGTAGAGAAATGATACAAGAAAACTTCCCAGAATAGAGAAACACATTTTTAGACTGAAAGGATCCATTAAGCACCAAGCACAATCAATGAGAACAGACTCATATCAAGGTACATCCTTGTGAAATTAAGTAACACTAGAGGATAAAGAAAAGATCCAGAAAATTTCCAGAAGGAAAGAAATATAGGTCAAATACAAAGAATCAAGAATCATAATGGACTTCTCTACAGCAACAATGGAAATAGAAGACAAAGCAAGGCCTTAAAATCTAGCCAAATTAACAAGTGTAAGAATTTAAAAAATAACTATTTTAGACGTGAAAAATTTTAAAACTATTTCATTTCAGAAACCTATTGGGGTTTTATATTCTACCAAAATAAAGAGGTATCCTAAGATGGAGAAAGACATGGAATTTGTTTCAATAAAAATGAGGTATGAAGAAAATACCCAGGATGATAGTCCAAGGTTGATGGCTAGGCAGTAGGCACAGGGAAAGTGAACAGGACAGATAAAGACCTGATTATTATTAGCAAGGGTCATCATGAACCACCACTAGGAAAAAGTTTAGCCATTTGCCAAATAATATGATATCCACTACTAGTCTTTTTGTAATTCATACTATAACCCAGACCGTCTACTGAGATGAGCCTTTCTCAGAAATCAAGCAAAGTTATTAGAATCCAATTTCTCCATGAATAGGAACCACATCTATAGAATATTATCAAATAATTTATTAAATTCCTGTGATGTAAGGTAAGGTATTAGAAAAAAATGGAATGAAATTATAGGTCCCATATCCTGAATATGTCCCTTTTATAAACAAACAATACAATTCCAGTTGTATCATGTACATCCTGTTGTTTGTTCACCATCAAAAATGGTGTGCTTGTTTTTTCCCCCATTCAATTAAAGATGGCAGACATGAACAAACTCTGCTCTAGAAAATAGTTTACCTGGTACTGGAACTGAATGGGCTGTAATTGGCTGTCATTCTGAGTCATCTTCTTAGCTAGGGCCTCTTTCAATGCAAGGGCTTTATTCAACTCAATCAGCTCCTTCGACATCTGAGCTTGGCGTAGAGCATGTTGAGTGGTGAAAGCATCTGAAGACCTGCTGGTTTCTGGACTGGTTTCAACTTGCTGGAAAAGATAATAATCAAGATGATGTAGACAATGGTTTGTAAGAGAAACCAGAAATTGGAGTTCCTTAGGTACTAATTTCATCAAGTCTCATAGCCCTTTCACTATTAGCATTATCTCTATTCTTCACTGCTATGGTTTTTCACGTAAGATTTGCTTTAAATATCTGAAATAAATTAAGCTAGTCTATTTCCCTGCTCACTTAAATACCCTTTTATATATTTTAGCTTTTTAAAGGCCAGCTGTTTTCTTGCTCTTTCCTTTATTGATCTGGCCAGCATTCCCTACTTTTAATCTCATTCAAAGGGGTCCTTTAAGAGAGAAGGCACTGTGGAAATGGTGGAAATTGAGAAGAGGATTCATTTATTCTCACACAGCTGACTATTAGCGCCCAATTTATTCCTTATTTTCATTGTTTCAGAATATGAAAACTACCAATATGTATATATTCATTTGAGGCATAAAAGCCTGTCTCAACCAAACCTTTGCCTGGCCTTTCATTTTTACTTTATTCTGGAACATATAATACATTTTATCTATCCTTGAGATCTGAACACTCAAAATATTTTCCTTGTTTCTTTTAGCCCCTAACCATTCCATCCTTTGAAAAGTATGCTGAAAAAAATTCTCTCCTATTCCTCCTCTAATGCTTTTTTGACTTTGCCATAATTTCCCAATATGTTCCTCTCCTCATTTTAACTTGCTGAACAGTTGAAACAGAATACTAGCATCCAACAAGAAATAAGTAAGCCACATTGCAAATTTGGAATGTGATATCACTGAGAAGACTTGCTACCCATTACCAGGTATATTATTAGAGATAGAGCCTATCTACATTAGGGATTTTATGAAACTGAGATTTACACTGAAGATTTCTGATTTTCCAGGGCATTCTAAGGCAAATGGTAGTAATCATGGATTCTCTTCTTCAGTCAAGTGATAAATTATAGGAAATGGCACAGTTAGAGCTCCTGGTTCCACACAAAGGGGCCAATTACTTACAGTTTCTGGTTCCACAGCAGTATCAATGGCTGCAGTCATGCAAGCAACAGTTTCATCCTACAGTGACAAATGTTTCGATTTAGAAAAAGATTCTGAAATGAAGTTCACTAGTGGATTTTATATTGGTTATTTAATTTTTTCAAGTACACACAGAGACCATTAAATGTAAGGTGTTGGACCCATTTTGGAGTCACAGAAATCCTAACAGCCACACGTTTCCATTTCCCACTTCTCAAAAAGAATTTTTCTTCTTCATAAAGGGCAATTGTGTAAGTTTTTGTAAGAAAAAAAATAAGGTCATGTGGCAACTGACATATTTATTGCACTTCTCCTGCTCTGCCAGAGATCACTGAGTGATTTTGGCCATTTCAGCCAAAATTTAACCCATTTAATAGACTCTCCCCTTTCTTTTTGTGTTTCTACCACTAAGTCTACCTCTATTAATGTACAAGTCTAGCTACTTCTCATGGGCATATCAACTTAAGACATGTAAAATAAGGGCAATTCATGAGACACGTGGACAGAATGGTTATTTTTGATTTTTATTTTATAGTTATTCAAGATAGCAAGATCTTACTCTGTAAGAAAACATGTAATCTGCATGGGTACCCCAGAAAAATGTGTCCATGAAGTCAGACAAATGTAATATAGTTCTGTTACTCATATATGTAAAAACTAATCATATGCTCGGTGAGGTGATACATGCTGTAATTCCAGCAATTCAGGAGGCTGAGGCAGGAATATTGAAAGTTCAAGGCCAGCCTCAATAACTTAGTGAAGCCCTAAGCAACTTAGTGAGAACTTGTGTCAAAATAAAAAGGGCTTGGGATGTAGCTTAGTGGTAACACACCCCTGGGTTCAATACCCAGAACCAAAACAAACAAAAAACTGATCATATGAAGCTACTCTAGGTAGTTACTTGGATAGTTAGGAGGAGGTAAAGGGAAAACACTAGTTCTCTCCTCGGAGAATGAAAAATTCTTTTGGGGGCATTAGAAAAACAAATACCCAGTAGAGAAACCTAAAACCATTTATTAGGAGTAATTTGTTTATAAACTATCATATGAGCAAGCTCTGTTCTCACCACTGGAATTTAGGCCTTATTTGTAATATATGAATTACTGTTTGTTTAAGTGATTTTGGAAAGCTGTGCAAGGAAAGTATTATTGCCAGGAAGTCACATGATTAAGGAGGTCATAGGTGAAAAAGCTATTGGTTTAAGAGCAAAGAATTTAGGGTTAGCACATGAAGTCACTATACCAGCCCTGTGAAATATTACATAGTATTAAAACTTGAATCTCAGTCCCTTTCAGGCAAGGAATGAAGAGGCCCTAAATAAGTGCTGTTTTTAACACTTCCTTTATTCTGCTCTGAAATCCCCAATGAGGCTCGAAGAGAATTCAGAAGAATTTTCAGTGTTTCACATTGTTTCTCATCATGATTTATCTTACCTGAAGTTCTCTAAGTATAGGGCACACTGAATCCTTCCCTTCTTAAAAAAGCAGCACATGGATTTGTTAGTTAATGGTTACTCCTTTCCTCCCTTGCATGTTTCAATTTTCAGTATAAGGACTAGTTAGTTATAAGCCTATTCTAGATTAGGAGAACTTATAATTGTGGCTTTTGGAAACTTTTTCTAGTACCTTCTAGAGGGTTAGGATTAAAGTAGATGGATTAATATTTAAAGACGATGTGTTGCTACAGTGGGTATACCTTTGGCTTTTGGCCCACTGAAATTTCACAGTGTTAAGGTTTCAGCCCAGGGCTAGGACTGGGGTGTAGCTCATTAGCAGAGCACTTGCCTAGCATGTACAAAATCCTGGGTTCAAACACACACACACACACACACACACACACACACACACGAAACCCCACCCCTTAGGGCTACGGTAACATGTTTTGCATGAACATGGAAAGATTCTGCTTTTATAATCCTAAAAGTAAATATATAACAATCAGATTTATTTCAATCTAAGGGCTCTTTTCTCTCCCACTCTCCTCATTGTAAGGTTTCAACTTAAAAAATCTCTTGTAAATAAAAGGTATAATTTGCTAAAGGAGATGATCAGGGGATTGAGGTTAGGGTACATCACGCTACATTAATCAGCAAAACTTTCAAAAATGAAGCTCATGCTTGTAGGCTGTGTGTAATACCATTACTGTGCATGCAAAATGCTTTTTATGGAACTGGTCTTGGAGGAGGGTGTATAAACAAAATATAAAAAAATTGATTCTTTAGGAACTGAAAGGATTGTATGAATTTCTCACAGGTAACTGCAACAAGGAGGTTTGCTTGAATTATATCTTAAGGAAAGAAATGGTACAGTTTTGTGCTTCAAGCCCCAGGAGGAATATGCAGGAACAATGGTTGCCTTCATAACTTGAAAAGGGGGTGTTCACCCACCACTTAAAATAAAAATAGTTTTAATCCAGAATGAAGGGCACAAGCACTTACATTTGAAACATTTTGCTTTCACTGTAGTGAGTCTTAATAAAAGCCACAGGATACACTGTTGTGTATTTCCAAAAAAATATGTAGCTGGGAGGGTCTCTCAACAATAGACGTGGAGAACTCTTATTCAAGAGTCCAGCAGGAGCCTTGGATAAAAGGGTTTACTCTGCCTAACTGTGACAGGGGATAGAAACCAGGAACTTTATCAGCTTGTGGCAATCTTTAGCACCCTCCTACTGCATGTGCCAAGTGCATTTTAGTGGCAGACAGCAATTCTATAAAGTTCCTCTGAGCCAGCCACCACTAACAACTTCCCCTACAGGCACACCAGGCACCAGTTATATTGCCAGATCCTCAGTGAGGATGCTTTGTCTTCTTTTATTAATTTGGTTCCACAGGTTTCCTTCATCTTTCCCATGCAATTCATAGCCTTGGAAATGAGGTAGTATGAAATCCTGAGATTGGCATGGTGGCCGTGAACAATAGTACCCTGGGTCATTGTTTTCTGAGCTTCTAAATTTAGACTATAGTAGGCTTCTATACCCTAGATTATCTGAATTCTAAGGTAGCTCACACAAGGTTTTCATATATCAGAAGTTTCTGCAATACTTAGGAAGAATTATATGTTTGGGGGTATAGCTCAGAAGTAGAACACTTGCCTAGCATGTACAAGGCCCTGAGTTTAATCCAAGCACTACAAAATAAAAAGGAATTATAGTTGGTGACATTTATCTTTGTGATAGCCATTTTCTAGCATGCAATCTATCCTTCAGTTACATTGAAGTTGTTAACATTTTCTAAACTTTCATACTTCTTTGCTTTTGCATATACCTTTTCCTCTGTATAGATTATCCTTTCTTCTTTGTCTGCGTGGCAAGCTCTTATTCATTTTTAGGACCCATTTCTTCTGTGATATCTTTCTGAATTTTCTAGACTAAGTTAATCACTCCTTCCTTGGTGCTGTCACTATACTTTGCTCATACTGCTAATGTAAAGGGATTAAAACAGATAGGAGAGAGGGTTCCCAGTTTTCCTTGTCTTCAACCATCACCACCTCACCCCTTTTTTCTGTCATTGTTCCCATCTGTAAACTTTAACCAACTTACAAACTACAAGGCTTGCAAAAACAACTCTTAAAAATAACATGATAGCTATCAGAATGGGATTGCACCAATATGTTCTGGAGGAAGAAGAATGAAAACTGGAACAACCTCTAACCAAAAGTTTCACAGCAATTAACAACAAAAACTGCTACCTGAGCCAAACCACAAGAACACACCCTCCTTTCTTCTTTTCACCCTATAAAACTCTAATCTGCCTTAACATGGAGAGTTATTTGGAATCCAGGTGCTCCCTGAGTTTATCAGCTGAATAATGCCTTTAACTCCAATTTGAGTCACTTAAAATTATTTCCTTTTGACAGTAAACATCATTTAGCAAGGTTACATAGCTAGTAAGTGGCAGAATTGGCTTCAAACCAGAGTGTTTCTGGCTCGGGAGTCCAAGTACTCAATTACCCTTCTCTGTTTGTTGGATAAATGAACTGTCATTTTGGACTGATGGTGACAGTTTTATACAGCACTACTTATTCTAAAACACTGCCAAATAGTTTTGGGGGAGTTTAATTTTAAGTTTTAAATTTCTTAGAATTTGTCAACATAATCTTTTTCCTTGACCATATTATATGATATTTTTAAAAAATATTTGCCATTTGGGAGTGTATGTGCTGGAAATTGTACCTAGGGGTTCTCCACCACTGAGATACATCCCCAGCCCTCTTTATTTTTACTTTGAGGCTGGGTCTCACTAAGTTGCTGAGGCTGGCCTTGAACTTGTGATCCTCCTGCCTCAGCCTTCCAAGTTGCTGGAATTATAGGAGTGCATCACCATTCCTTGCTTCATTTATTCTTTAAGTCTATGTGTGGGTGATTTTGTGATATTCCATTGACAATTCTGAGACAATGCTGGGCAAGACTAGGATTGAAAGACAACTATTCAGTAAAATACAAATCTATTCCCAAGAAGACCCAGGAGTTACTGCCAAGCATTTACATATACATTACTGCTTCAGAATAACAAATAGGAGAATGTAGATGGAATAAATCTAATCATAACCTGTAAACATAGTGTAATATGGTATGATTTTAATTTAAAAATAAATATACCAATCTGGGTGTAGTGGTGTATTCCCATCATCACAGTGACTTGGAAGGCTGAGACAGGAGGATCTCAAATTAGAGGTCAGCCTCAGCAACTTAGTAAGGCCCTAAGCAACTTAGTGTGACCCTGCCTCCAAATAAAAAATAAAAATAAAAAGGACTGGGAATGGAGCTCAGTGGTAAAGTACCCCTAGGTTCAATCCTAAGTACAAAAAAAAATTAAGGTGGTGGGATTGTAAAAAATTTTCTTTTGGAGAAAACAAGAAATAATTACCCCCCACACAACTATTATAGCAGCTCTAAAATTGAATAAAAAGGGAATTTATGGCAGAATGATCATTTAAATTTATTATTGGTTATAAGAGAGAGCTATGACTGCTACTCTTGCTACCTAGGCAATTTTGCACACTATGTTGTTGCTTGTGGAATTTGATTAGATTATGAAAATATTAATGTGCCATTACTAAGTGACCTATGAATGTTATATTTTAACAAACTCAACGTTCAGATCATATTACATGATCTATGATCTCTGTCCTCCAGCCGCTCATAATCTAGTTGTTTCAGCAAAAGGCCAGAGAGTTAGAAATACTCATATGCCTCAAGAGAAACAAAAGAAAGTGATATGCCTATTTACTGTTACTTGGCTTACCGATAGCTGGGTAATCACTTGTTGGAGATTACGAATTATCTCTACATTTTCTTTTAATTCCTGGTCTTCCAAAGTCTCCACTAGCTTTTGAAGATCCAGTTTGCAGCTGAAAATTCAAGCAAAAGAACCCAAGGGTTAATCATACTGTGAAGGCCAGAAGATTCATGATTAGACAGGAAGTTGGGATAGGGCACTAACAAATATCTGGTAGGAAACTTACGCTGCATGTTGCCTGAGCTCCTCTAGCTTGGCGTTCATTTTTTCATTCGCTTGCTCTGTCTGCAACAAAGACCCAGGAGATGATCAGTGGCAGTGCCTGACAGCTTCACCTAATTATGCTCTTTCTCCTATTCCTGTGGATAAAAACCTAGGTAGAAAGGCTGTCTCCTTTCTGTCTAGAGGATTTAGTGGCCTTTGGTTATTTGTTGAGAAGTGTGTTTTTTAACAGAGTCATGGGAAATTAGCCCTAAAGTCAAAATAAGCTACTAAAAATACCATTCAAGCAGCTGGGTTTTATGCTTGCCATGAGGCTCAGACTATGGGGTGGAGTGTGAAGCCTTAATTCCATAGAGAACTTTGCAACTGGAGGAAAAAGCAACACTTCCTGGCATCTTAATCCCTGCTGTTCGTAAAAAAAAAAAAATAAAAAAAATAAAAAAATAACTTTAAACTGCCTCCTACACTGCACCTCCTCAGCACCAGGGCATTTAAAACATAAAAGGGCCTCACACTAAATCTGAGCTTGTATTTTTTAAAAGTTATACTACCTGATATGGTACGTTAGTTTTAGCAGAGAAAGCAAGAGAAAGGGTAAGGCACAAGAATGCTGTTAGTGAAAAAAGAAAGAGCAGAAGGCAGCTATGTTTGGGGTAGGATGATTGATATTTTCAGTTTTATTTCAATCACAGAATCTGTCACATGCTGGAAGCTGCAACAGATTTGGGAAGGATAGTTTATATAGGACAAAAATGTTGTGTTTGTTGGGAATATTAAACAATAAGCCTACCAGGAAGCCATTGTAACAACCTTATAAAGGTCAGATGGTTATGTGGCTAGAATAACAAGTTCTGTCTGTTTCGTCAGCCACACTCACACACATGTAAAACACGGCTTCTAGAGTTTCTGCAAAAGCATAAAATGTGGCACTGGAGAAATAATATTATATATAAAAAATCTCTCAGATTCCACTTTCACCTTTCTGTTAGTAATGGACAGTACAACTAAACATAGGATTTAGCCTCTTTTAAAGAAAACTTTAGGTAGCTTACTTTTCCTTGACTAGTGAACACAATGGATGCATGAAGGCATATCGGCCAGGTTCGATTACAATTTGATGGAAATTCAATTTCACTTCTGACAATAGTTGTGCAATCAAAGTCTGAGTTTTACTTGAACTAGTAGAAAAATGTTAGTGATAGAGCCAACACACACTGATCTAGAAGGTTACCATCACCGGTAGTAGGATCACAATTGGTGTAATCATTCACATAGTGATCGACTACCATATTTTACCATGACAGCTATTTAGGATGGAATTTGAAATGTGACAATATTAGGGGAACGGAAATAGAGAAGAATGAAAGTCTTAGTGAAGGAAAAGTAACTTGGTACATGTTGAATATCCCTTATCCAAAATACTTGGGACCAGGAGCGTTTCAGATTTCAATTTTTTGTTGGATTTGGGAATATTTGCATACATGATAAGATATCTTTGGAATGGGAACCAAGGTTAAACAAAATTCATTTATCTTTCATATACATCTTATACATGGCCTGGAGGTAATTTCATACAATATTAGTACACATATATTCTGACTGTGACTAGTCACATGAGGTCAGCTGTGGAATTTTCCACTGTGGTGTCATGCCAGTGCTCAAAGAGTTTTGGATTTGGGAGCATTTTGGATTTCAAATTGTCAGATTAGGTATGCTCAACCTGTATTATGAATAAAGATTAGGCAGAATTTAAGGTAACTAAGGGACATAGTTCTTTCTGGTATTTTCAAAATGGGATTCATGTAGATTCTTTGTGGTGGATATATAAGTATTTACTGTTCAAGTCTAACTATTCTATATGTTTAATTAAAAGCTCATGGCACAGGGGATCCTAGCAGAATATGGAAATATATATATACATTTCCTCCCACATAACTTTTCTCTCATAATGAGAAGCATGTTAAATATTTTTGGAAACAGTGAATGTCCAGAGTACTGTTATTTTAGTCTTTGGGGCTCACCAAAATGATCCTCTCCAACATTTGGGCTGTCTGACCAGCTGCCTCACTCAAACCACGACTTAATTTTTCATTCTCATCAGTCAGGGACTGATTCTTCTCCATCAGGGATTGTAGATTCTCTGATGGTTCCACACTAAAACAAAGAAAGTAACATTGTAGACAATAACTGAATGATAGCACCACTATCTAAGGTGGATAAAAATATAACTTATAGCCTTTTGGCAGGGGGTTAGGTTAAAATCACCTTTAAAAAGTCTAAGAAAAGTGTATCCAAACACTATTCTGTCCTTCCAGTCAGGTAGTATAAGAAACATACCCCTGAAGTACTTTAATGATTTGGAGAAAGGTAATAATTCAGAGCCAGATATGGTTATAACCTTTACTTTGGTTCTTGATTTGGGATCTTTCCATTTGTATTGTGTACTGAAGTGAAAGCTAATTGTAGCTAATATGTTTTCTCCCTCCTCTTCCCACCCTTAATCTCTCACTAAGGATGAAAGAAGGTAGGGGCTGGGGATGTAGCTCAGTGGTGGAACACTTGCCTAGCATGCAGGAAACCCTGGGTTCCATCCACAGCAAGGGTGGTGGTGTGTGGGGGGGATTACGGAAGTAGGGAAGGAAGAAGGTATAGAGGAGATAGAAGTGACATTGCTCAGGGGTCAAAATTTAATCTGACCAACATAAGTTGATTATTTACTTACTGTAAAATTTAGAAGAGTAGAATTTATGGAGTCAGAAATATAAAATGATTACCACTGGCTACTAGAACCACATTTCACAATTCTTTATAAGTGTTCTCTTCTAAATGCTTGCTTTCCTTGAAATTGAGTGTCCTGTTTATTTGCTTATCAATTTCAACTTGCTTAGAGTGAGTGGTGGGAATAATAGTAACCATTTCAAATATGAGCAGAAGGAACAGAAATAGCTTATAGGAATATATACATTCATATAAGAACTTTTAGAACTTATTTTCTATCAGTTCTAGACTAATGAAGTAGACCAAGAAGAAGCATAGTCTTTTTTAAAAATCCATTTGGATGAAGTATTCAAAAGACTGGAAAACTGAACTGGTAAAAAGAAGATCAGAAGAAATATGAAGATTTGATCTGAAGACTAAAGGGGAAAATGAATAGTTGTCAAGGCTATGATAAAAAGAAAAAGGGACAGGGAGCAGCTGTTCTCAATCTTAATAAAGGACAGAAAAAGATTTCAGGAATAGAGTAGATGCCCTCTCACCCAACTCAAGACCTCCATTAATTCTTATAGAAGATCTCAGCCTGCCATGTATCAAAAAGTTAACAGCAAGGCTACCCAATAAGGTCTCATATCACACTGTTAAGAATTCACAAACACTCTTATGAAGGAAAGTTCAATTAAATTGTGTATTATAAAAATAAATTATTTGTAAATTTAATGTTGTTTTAGATTGTCATTTCCTTATTCTTATTAAACTGAAAACTTTCATGACATTCATGTAAGTTGATGAGATTCAAAGTAATGATATTTCTTTTTCTTTCTTTCTTTTTTTTTAGTACTGGAGATTGAACTCAGGGGCACTCAACCAGTGAGTCACATTCCCAGCCTTATTTTGTATTTTATTTAGAGACAGGGTCTCACTGAGTTGCTTAGTGCCTTGCTTTTGCTGAAGCTGGCTTTGAACTTGCAATCCTCCTGCTCAGCCTCCTGAGCTGCTGAGATTACAGGTGTGTGCCACTGCGCCCAGCTTCAACGTAATGATACTTTTAACTCAATAGGTTTTCCCCCTAAAACATTTCTCTAAATGGGGAAATCATATTAAAGTCAACTATTGATTTTTTAAAGAAACTTTTAGTTCCTTTGAACACACCAGGTGACTCAGGCTTATTCTCAAGTTTTAAATTTTTCAACAAGGTGATTTTGTTTATAATTTCTGGTTGATCTTTCTGTGGGGAAAGTGAAGTCTAAAATCTTCTGTGATTCTGCTGATGTCATTAATCAGATTTTATTTATTAATTCAGTCACTAATCACATTTTATTTATTAATTAATTTGTTGATGAACATTGGGATATTGGGATGATACTGCTTTTTTTTTTACTATTGTGAATAATAGTGCTGCTACGAACATGGTTGTGAAAATATTTCTTTGAGATCTTGCTTTCAATATTTTTTTAAAGAGAGAGAGAGAGAGAGAGAGAGAGAGAGAGAGAGAGAGAGAATTTTTTTAATATTTATTTTTTAGTTTTCTGTGGGCACAACATCTTTATTTTATTTTTTATGTGGTGCTTAGGATCGAACCCAGTGCCCTGCACATGCCAGGCGAGCGCACTACCGCTTGAGCTACATCCCCAGCCCCTTTCAATACTTTTGAATATATAGAAGTAGGATTGCTTGGTCATATGATAGGTCTATTTTTAATTTTTTGGAAATTTCTATATCCTGTTTTCCATAGTGGAGATGTCATTTTACAATCCCACAACAGCATACAAGGGTCCAAACTTTTCCATGTTCTAGCGTCCTTGCCAACATTGATCATTTTCTATTAAAACACACACACACACATACACACACACACACACACAATTTATTTATTCAGGATTTTAATTTCCATTTTCTTTTCTAAGTGTATCTTTTTGTATAACTCTAAACTCTTAGATCCATTTTAATGATTTTCATACCCAAAATATAAATAACTAAAACTAATTAAGATGTAGGGCCAAAAATAAAGATGTAGGGACAACCCAAAATGGAATATAAATATCAACTATGGAAAATAGTACCCTGCTAGGAGCTGGGATTGTGGCTCAGTGGTAGAGCGCTTGCCTAGCATGTGTGAGGCCCTGGGTTCGATCCTCAGCACCACTAAATAAATAAATAAATAAAATGAAATAAAGATATTGTGGGGAAAAAAATAAAAAAATAGTACCCTGCTAAATGCAAAAAAAAATAGTGCATAAATGTTGACTTCTAGTTCATAAAAGTGTATCTCACAAGGATATGGGCTAGCATTGTGAAACACCATTATATGTACACTAGAATTGAACATAAATAAATTGCAGATAATAAGACTGTATTTCTCATTGTTAGAGAATTTATAAATGCGAAGACCAAAATGAATCCTGTAGTGTTGGAAAGGAACCAGAACTATATTATCATTGTTTTTAATACATATACAGATAGATAGATATCTGTATAGATACAAAAACATAGATGAGTATATATGTGTGGGTTATTACATGTGCAGATATTTCTGAGTTCTACCTGCTAAGAAAGCCTAGAAGTGAAGACACCCCAGTAATAATGAACACAACCAGTGCTACCACCCATATCTTAGTTTCTAATCACCATTTTCCAATAAAAGAAACCAGGCTTCTTGGAAATTCAGAAGATTCCAGAACTGGGGTAAGAAAAATGCAGTTTGGAACATCTTGTGGAAATGTTCAAAAAATTGAGTACTTGAAAAAGAACACAAAAAGCTAACTGAAGTTGCTCTGAATGAATAAAGCAGGAATGATTTGAATAAAACAAATGCTAGTATTGGAGGTTAACCTATAGAACAAAATAAATATTCATGTATCTGTGGATATAACTAAGTAGACAAAAAATACATTGGGGAGAAGAGACAGCTCTTCTTAGAGTAGCATTCAAGTTCACAAATTTCTGAGACCAAAACCATACTTTTTCTATTACACCAGGCTGCTTCAAAGATAACTAGCTAAGCCCAAAGTAGTCAGCAGGGTTGGTAAATTCCCTTCAGTGACGCCAAATGAATGCTACTAGAAACTTTAGGATAACAGAGGAAAACAACTATCAGGAGAAAGAGCCTCTGCTGTAACTCACATTTAAAATTAATTTATACCTAGAGTTCAACCCTAAACATCTCAATCGATCAATCAAACAATCAATCAGGTAATTTTAGGACACTTACTTTATAGATCTAGGCAGGGTACCCCCATGGGCTTGTAGCAACAAGACCTGTAGTTGTTGTACCTGAGAGAAACAAAGAAAAATAATCAATCACCAATCCAAAACTACTAATTCCTTAGCAATGATATTACTACAAATAGCCAGACATGGTGGAACATGCCTGTAATCCCAGCAGCTCAGGAGGCTGAGGTAGGAGAATTTTGAGTTCAAAGCTAGACTCAGCAAAATTGAGGCACTAAGCAACTCAGTGAGACCCTGTCTTTAAATAAAATAAAAAATAGGGCTGGGAATGTGGCTTGGTGGTCGAGTGTCCCTGAGTTCAATTCCCGGTACAAAAAAAAAAAGAAAAGAAATTACTATAATTAGCATTTAGATAATTTTACTCAATGCCAATGAAATCTAAGGTAGAGCTTAGGTATTTATTCCAATCAGATTTTTGCCCACATATTAGTTCATTAAAGTAACTTGCTAAGGTCACCAATGACCTGAATGTCATTAGAGCTAATGGAACATTTTTCAGCCTTCATTTTACTCAATTGACTGTTCGGTAGCATTTGGCTTACCAGAATCATACTTTCCTGATTTCCACATAGTAGCCAGACCATCTTTTAAAAATGCAAATTACCAATGTTACCACCCAGCTTATAATCATTTTTGCACATGGTCCATGAGTTCTTGGTCATGTTTCTGCTTTCCCTTTAGGTTCATACTAGAATACTTTCCTTGCTTTCTATGTGCCAGTCACACTAGTATCCTTTCAGTTTCCCAAATGCACTATACTTCATCCTAACTTAGACCCTTTCAGCACTTGCTATGTGCCAGGTGTTGTTCAAAGTACTTTACATAGATTACTCACTTAACCCTCACAAATACCCTATAAAGTAGGGTATTGTTATTATTTCCAGTGCAGACAGGGAATCTGAGGGACAGACAACTTGCCTAAAGTATATAGCTAGTAAGCTATAAAGCCAGGATTTGAACCTGGGCTGTCTGGTGGGCAATATTCATGCTCTTTGCAATACTTTGCTCTCATGCTGGTTTTTCTCCTTCCATCTCTCTTCCTTCTTCTCTGCAATTTATTCATACATAATCCCTCTGATCTCAGCTCAAATGTTGCTACCTTAGAGAAGGCTCCCCAGACTGAATATTTAATAGAAGGCCCCGTTCAACACTCTCATAGCATAGAATCCCAGTTTATAATCACAAAATAGTATATGATTATGTGTTTAGTGTTTGTCTCTCATGTTAAGCAATAAGAAGGTAGAAACTGTGTTGATTTGCTCAATAATGTATCCCAGCATAGTGCCCAGCACATAATATTGTTCCATAAATACTTATTGTTGGAATGAATGAGCAAATAAGTGAATAAGAGGAAGAAGGGCCTTCTGGGCAATGGAATAAACATAAAAGAAAATAGGGGGACAGAGTGGTATTGTATAATTCAGATGATACTGTGGACAGATAAATTACTTATATTCTCTATTGTGACCCCTAGGGAGGAAGGAGATAAAGGAGAAGGAAAGGGAAGAAAAGAGATTGATTAAATAGTAATCACTAAGGGGGGAGGCCAGAGAGGGAGTGAATATTGGGCTAGCAAATGCTTGATTTCAAGTGAAAGCAGTACTATAATCTGGAAAGTGAGAAAATGTCACCCCCTTATACCTGCATCAATCTAATTCCTGCCTTCTTGTCTTCTCTAACAAGGCTACTGAGCTGTTGTACAACCAGTCATATACCACAAATTCATCTCATAGTTAACTCTCCTATTTCTTTTGAGAGTGACTTTAAGCCCTATTCTTTTTGTTTTAAAATTTTTTTAGTTGTAAATGGACACAATACCTTTATTTTATTTACTTATTTTTATGTGGTGCTGAGGATTGAACCCAGTGCCTCACAAATGCCAGGCAAGTGCTTTACCACTGACCCACAACCCTAGCCCTCAAGCCCCCTATTCTTATTTGACTGCTCAGTCTTAGAAGATGACCTTGTCTGTTCTCTGTTCTCAGTTTCTCCTATCTAGTTCTTTTACTTTTTTTTTTTTTCAGTACTGAAGATTTAACATCTAGGGATTGTACATGCTAAGCAAATGCTCTACCACTAAGTTACACCAACAGGCCCTCCCACTTTCAAAAAAGTTTGAGACAGGGTCTCACTATGTAGACCACGATGGCCTCGAACTTGCAATCCTCTTGCCTCCCAAATTGCTGGGATTAAAGGCATAAGCCACTGCACCCAGTTCTTTCTTTTACTTGTGCAATTTTCTCCCATAGTTTAAAAACAGACCTATATTCCTTGACCCTTGATTTCCAGCTAATGCCTTTTCTTACCATGTCTCTTTGAAATAACAGCCATCAGCTTCCTCCACTTCTTTTTAATTTTTTTTAGTTGGTGATGGACCTTTATTTTATTTGTTTATATGCAGTACTGAGAATTAAACCCAGAGCCTCACACATGCTAGGCAAGCGCTCTACCACTGAGCCACAATCCCAGCCCATTCCTCCACTTCTTACCTACCATTCTGTACACTTATCCTGAATCAACCTACTCTTATTCCCCTGACCTTCCTCTAATAAAGGTAACCAATAGCTTCCTTATTGATAAGAATTAATGGACATTTAAAAATCCTTATCTTACACTTTATAAGTTTATACTTCTCATAATCCTCCTTGAAATGCTTGTCCCTTGGCTGTCATGACCCCACTGGTTTTCTTCCTGTCTACTGCTTTTTAATCTCTCTTGTTGTCTTCTCTTCTTCCTGTATTGTCTTCTCTTCTTCCTATATTTCTTAAGTGCTAATGTTCCCAAGATTTCTGGTTTGGGCCTTCTCTTCTTCATTTGCTCATTCAGCAATTATTTAGTGAGTGACTTTAATATGTCAAGTACTCTTTGATTTTATCCACTCCATAACTTCATATCATCTAATGCTATTGACTCTTGAACCTGTTTCTTCAGCTAAGACATCTCTACATCAAACCCATACAGCCAGCTATATTTGAATATTTCTACTTACAAGTCCTAGAAGCCATTCAACTTCAAAATTAACCAAACTGAACTCATAATTTCCAGTTCTCCTACCTGACCTTGTTTTTCCTCCTGTATTCCCTGACTCAATGATCGGCACTACCATTTATTCAGTTGGGAACCAATTTCAACTCTCCCCACTCACCCTAATTTTCCCACATCAAATGTTACCACTTAAGTTCTATATATTTTAGTTCCTTCTTGTTTTTCTCCTCCTAACTATCTCCTTCTCTTTATCTCTATTGCTACTGCCTTTAGTTCAGGCCGTAGGTCTTACCTGATTATTATAACAGCCAAATTTCTTTTCTTACTTCTAGCCATGTCCACCTCTAATCTACTTTCTCTATACTTGCTGAGATTATCTCCCTAAAACACACACATTTTATCATATCACCCTCTTATTTAAAACCCTTAAATGGCTCTAATACTTTCCAGCTGATTTCCAAATTATTGAACAGGTTATATAAGGAACTTCAGAATCTGGGCCTTGCCTACATCTCTTGTTTCATCTCTCACTGCTCACTTCTTTTTCAGTGAACTCTCCAATGCTACCTCCAATCTTAGAAGTGCAGCAAACATATTAATAGGATTTACTTGAAGAGGTCACCAAACTAACAATACTTAACAAACGTATCTAAAATTCTGACAGAGGAAAATATGACAAACAGAAGCTGTACCATTCTACTCACATAATTTTTCCCATAAAATTTTAATTCCCTTATACCTGTTGCTTAAGATGATTAAGTTCAGCTGTCTGGGGATCAATATTAATTACAGGTTTGTTCTTGATTTTTCTTGCTCTGTCAGCGTAGCGAAGGGTATTTAATGTTTCCTCTAGATTGGAGTCAGCAGGACTCACACAGGCTATCATAAGAGTGTGGCTATTACCTCCTAGAGAATCTGAAAAAAACACAATAAAGAATCATGGAAGGAAATGAAATCAAATAGGTAGGATGTAATCACAAGCTGTCCATTTGGGTTGGTGACAAAATTTTTAAGATATTTACAAATTTCTTATTTGTATTAATATAAAAACTCTTTAAGATTTCTAGTATGTAAAATGATACATATTTTAGAACACTATTGTATGTGTCTCTATTCTCAAGAGAAACTATTATTTCAGCAGTGAATCAGGTTAAAACAACTGTGGCCTGACCCATAGGAGCCTCACTATTGTGATTAAACATTCTTAGGATGCCCCCTCTAGGTAGATTTTAACTCTCCAGAGAATTCTGCATAGCAGCACTATTATATAAAGAAACATTAACCATGTTCATTTTCAGGTGCAAAGTACTAAGTACAATTGGCACTCTACAGACTTCTTGGCTCTCAAAGCCATATATGAAGACATTTTCCCATTATCTTGGAAACCTGACTGCCAACAGCTCTCTCTTCTATTTATCAATTAGACAGCTATGTATATGTTAGCCCCAGTAGCTAGCTTTTTACCTGTCTCATCTTTGCTTGCTCAGCACTATCATTCTCAGTTACTCTTTCTTATTTTTAGAGGTACTTTGGGCTTACCTTGAAGAAGTCGAGTCAACTTGGAATCTCTGTAGGGCACAAAACCACCCTTTTTGTCATCGCCGAGAGCACTGATTACATTTCCCAAGCATAGGAGGCCTCTATTAATATTTATACCTAATAATAGCAAACAAAATTTAAATTGCTTGGTAAAGTATCTCAAATATACTTGCATTTCTTCTGAGAAATAAAAAAGAAATAAAGACCCCATAGAAATACTGTAATCAATCCTAAGGAATTTTCTTAATCCTGTTAACTTTTCTGAGTGTGCCTCTATGTAAAGTTCAAAGAACAAATGTCCAAATGTTGGATTTGCACAATTGAGTCCTTTGGCACTTCTTGCCCTTTCACTATGGAAACAAAGTAGACAGATAACTATCACTATGACAACAATCATCCATACAGTTATTTACTTCTTACATCCATTATCAAAATCCTTAAACTAATGCTGTGAAATTGGATGCACAGCTATTTTTTTTTCTACAATTTTATTGTCATTGTTTTTACTATCTTTCTCCTTTTACAGATAAGGAAACTAGCTCAAAATTATATGGCTTGCCTGAGGTTAAACAGTTTTGGGCCTGATATTTCTTTTTCTTATTTTGGTACTCAAGATTTAACCCAGGGGTGCTTTACCACTGAGCTACAGTCCCAGCCCTTTTGGGTTTTTATTTGGAGACAGAATATCACTAAGTTGCTTAGGGCCTTGCTAAGTTGCTGAGACTGGCCTTGAACTTGTAAACCACCTGTCTCAGCCTCCCGAGCTGCTAGGAATATAAGTGTATGCCACCATGCCCTGCCTAAGATCACTATTCCTAGGACTTCAGTCAAGTCCTATGCTCTTTCTTTATATAACACTGGAATACCTTTCCGCTTACTGTTTAAAAAAGGGTAAACATTCTTTTCTATTTTATTTTATTCTCAGGTTTGCTTTTCCAAACAGTGTAATAATCTCTGAGGTCCCTCTAAAACACATGACTTCTCATTATTACTGGGAAGGGCTATACAGTATAATGGTTAAGTACATGGGCTTTGGTATCAGATAGACCTAGGCTGCAATCTTGGCTCTGTCCCTGACCAACTTTTTTATCTTGGGTAACATCCTCAATAAAATAAGACAAATGTATCCCCCTTATTTTGTGGTAGTGTGAATCAAATAAGATACTATTTATAAACCAAAGTCAAATGATACATAAATGGTGCTATAGTTTGAATGTCCAAATTCATGTTGAAATTTGATCCCCAATATATCTGTATTAGGAGGAAGGACTTTTAGGAGGTGATTAGGTCATGAGGTCTCTGCCCTTGTAGATGGGATATTAATGCCTTATAAAAAGGGACAGAGGCAACTAGCGAGGGACTTTTGCTCTTCTGTCCCTTCTGCCACATAAGAACACTGTTTCTTTTTCTTTTTCCCTTCCACTTTTTTTTTTTTTTTTTTTTTGCCATGGAAGGATGCAGTGAGGAGATACCCTCACCAGACTATAATGTTGCTGGTGCCATGATCTTGGACTTAGCTTCCAGAATTATGAGAAATAAAATTCTATTTATACAAATTACTCAGTCTAAGGTTTCCTGTTAAAGCTGCACAAATGGACTAAGACAAACAGTATCATTTTTGTTAGCCCTACTCTACCTTCTACTTTTGCAGCCATATTTTGGTCTCCATTTTTAACCTGAGACAAATACATTTATAAGATCCCAAACCCCACATTTCTCTCTGACTGCATCTTTCATAGATTCTGTTCTTCACTTTTATGGCTACCAATTTACTGACCCTTCTATTGTCAGTAGATTAGACTCTTCTGGGCCTTAAACTAACTATTCCGAACCCTCTAGATAAATATTTCAGTTTTCCATTCCTAAGCACTCACTGGATCAAAGACCTTCCACCATTCCCAACATAGGTTAAACTGATCTGTGTAGGTGTCTATCTGGAGGATACAGTGCTGAAGAAATAACATAAGCAAATGGACTGGATCCATTGCAAGCATTCCATTGACCTTAGCTGAAATATTGATCAATTACAAATCTTTTCTTCCTCATTCATACTTGACTAATCTAACTCACTATGGTAGCTATCCTAAATACTTGTTATTTTCAAGATTGTAAATCTACCTTTACTTTCTACTAATTTTTACCTAATACATTATGGAGCCTAGTTATCCACAAGGGTTCCCTAACCTTCCTTCTCCCCACCTCACATTCTTTCCTTTGCTATTATTCATTCCTTCATCCTTTCCTTTGTTTCAGAGGAAATGGCTGCTTTTATTCTCAAGGCTCTTCCTTTTGTCTCTGTCCATATTTCTATTCCCATGATCTCTCTGGGACCTGGGATCCTTCAATCTTTCCCCTTTCTCTTAGACTTTCTAATCATTTTCCTTTCACTAATTCCTTCTTTTCAGTCTATACACATGCTTATATCTCCCCAATCTAAAACAAAAACAATTTCCTTAAGCAACCCTCTCTTTCTTTTCCTTTTATTGCCAGTTGGAAGAAATACCATTTTGCAGAGCCATTTATTCCACTCAGGAAAAAGAGCCTGCTGAGATTTATCAAATCTGCTTGCCAATACTTTACTAATCCCTGTATTAGGACTTTCCTTTTATAGCCTAACAGAACATGGTGCCATCTTACTGGCCCAGATCCCATCTGGATGTAAAGGTGACTGCTCAGGTTTTTCTGTAGACCAAAACTTTTATCTTTAGCTTCATGAAGGAACAAATAAAATTCCAGATGGACCCTGAGAAGAACCTATGGCTACTGTAATCTACACAAAAACAAAAGACTTAAGGACAGGGGCTGGGATTGTGGCTTAGTGGTAGAGCGCTCACTCACCTAGCAAGGACAAGGCCCTGGGTTCAATCCTCAGCACCACATAAAATAAATAAAATAAAGATATTTTTTAAAAAAAAGACTTAAGGACAAATTAGGTGTCATTATTTTTTTTTTCTTCTTTAAAAGAGAGTTGGAGGGGCTGGGGATGTGGCTCAAGCAGTAGCGCACTCGCCTGGCATGCATGCAGCCCGGGTTCGATCCTCAGCACGACATACAAACAAAGATGTTATGTCCGCCGAAAACTAAAAAATAAATATTAAAATTCTCTCTCTCTCTCTCTCTCTTTAAAAAATAATAAAATAAAATAAAAGAGAGTTGGTGCTTTGGAATAGAAAAGGAACTGAGGGACATAAACGTCTCTCTAGAAAGAAATCATCACAAAGTAGGATTTGATTTTCTGTTGTTAAGGCAATAAAGTGATATGTTTTTGACAAAGATGAAGTAAAGAACATGTTTGCAGAGATTAAGAGTTCTTTTTTTTAATAGATGGACACAATACCTTTATTTTATTTATTTATTATGTTTATTTGGTGCTGAGGATTGAACCCAGTGCCTCACATGTGCTAGGCAAACCCTCTACCACTGAGCTACAATCTCAGGCCAGAGACTAAGAATTCTGATCAAGGATGGCTATGATCAGAAGTTCTTTTCTAAAACTGAAAATACATAAAGCAAGGAGACTTAAGGCTACTGCTCAGTACTGTTGGGTGCTTGTTCACTATGGCAACAAATAAATAATAAAGGAGAGGTTTTTACATTAAAAGAGAAATATAACTTCAAAGCTACCATGGAGGCACATTACAATGGGTTTAACAAATGGAACAGAAAATTTTGTTTGCATTTGAAATAAGGGAGAAAAACTAGGTAGGAGGGGAATGAAGTAGTTCTATATGCTTAGGGCAATTTTGCTTCCTAGGGGATTTTGCCAATACATGGAAACATTTGTTTGTTACAACTTAATGGAGAAGTATGTGTGCTACTGGCATCTAGTGGGTAAAGGCCAAAGATGATCCTAAATGTCCTACATTGCACAGGGTAGTTCCCACCTTGATTATTTGACACAAACTGTCAATAGTTCCATATCTGAGAAACTTGCTCTATATGTGACGAAAATACAAATGAGCCTAAGGCAAGTAAAATGGTTGAGTAAACTATGGTGAAAAAATTGAAGTAATATTATAGTGTAGATATGGTCTTCCTGGTCAAAGAGAAAGGGAATAATCTGGGACTCAAATGGGTCATAAAACTTAAGGAGGCAACTAATGAGAGGGGATAGAGTGAGAAGGGGACTTGAATGGAAGACAGAGAACCTTAGATCAAACTCTTGCCTCTATCACTTAGCAATGTGTGTGACATTAGACAAGATACTGCAACTTTTTTAAAATATTTTTTTAGTTGTTGATGGACTTTTATTTTCACTTATTTGTATGTGGTGCTGAGAATCAAACCCAGTGCCTCACGCATGCTGAGCCACAACCCCAACCCCAAGATACTGCAACTTTACTTTATCCATAAAACAGGGCAATACTTCCTTACACCTCATGGGATAGTGATAAAAATCAAATGTGATCTATAAAGAGATATCTACATGTAAGTTATTAAATGAGTAGAGAAACATGGATAATCTGGATATTTGCTGTCAGGTGAGCTGAATGCAGAGTACCTGATAAATCCCTTATCTACTTTCATGAGAATTTATTTACCCAAAAGGTACTGTGCCTAATAAAAGAAATGGGCTTTCAAATGGACATAGAAAGAATAAATGACTATATAAGTAAAATGGTGGAAATCTGGTTGTAAGGGGACCAAGGGACATGGACAAACATCAGCACTCCAGTCTTTAAGAAAATAATCTCCAAAATTCAGGAAAAAAGACAGCTGTGATCCTAAGGAAAAAAAGTCTACAGGGGAAAATAACAAAAGGATAGAAGACTTTCAAAAAATAAGATCATAATTATCTAGACACAAATAATTCCAATAAAAAAAATCAATGTCACTATACAGAAATAGGTTTTCAAGTAAACTCATATATAAAAATAACAGTGTCATGGGAAATTCTGCTCAAACACAGGAGACTGGCCCTCAGCATTTCTTTCCTCTCCCTCCTAAGACATCACTAAAAGGAGTAAAATAATTACTAACCCACAAGATCACAGAGCCTAGGAGAAGATATATCAGTAGGCAGGAGGTTTCAACATATTTCTAGAGTACAGGTGGAGAAGTGACAAATAACATAACAAGATGGAGGAAACTTCAACCTAAAGTGCCTGCAGAGGGAC